TCTTTTTTAAATTATAGTACTTCTTTAGATATTTTCTAAGATTCTGTAATTGAGGGAATGTGCCTCAAAGATCCTGATGCAGATCTCTGCAGAAGAGCAAGGGAGCTGGCCAGCGTTTGTTACTAATTATTTCAAGGCCATAGGCTGGTAAAGAGGTCTTTGATAAGGACTCCCCACAGAGTCCCTGGGGAGACTGCTCCCTGCCACTGTCCACTCCACTGCCTCCAGCCTCCTGGCCCTCATTTCCCAGCTGTCCCTGGCTGCTTCTCTTCTCTGGGGCCTGCAGTGTCACCAGCAAAGAAGCAACAGTTTAAGTGAGGGACTGGTGGTGCTCCAGGACAGAGACCAGTGAAGTGTGGCTGGATACAAGTTGGCTAGGACATGTGAGGGGACTGTTGGGGCTTGGAGGGGTGAGGCATCTGCAGGGGCTAAGGAGTCAGAGACCTAGTCTGAGCTCTGACACTGACTTGCTTGGTGAATGTGGGAAGCTCCTACCCCAATCTGAGCCTCTGCATCGTGTTTGTAAAAAAGATGACTTCTCTGGTGACCTTCTAGCTCCAATGTTTTGGATTATAAATTTTAATATGACCCTGAACATAACCCTCTGAAGAATGCATGCAAGAACTGTACCCATTTTACAGCGAGGAAACCAAGACCCAGTGAGGAGCAGTGACTTGCCCACCATCACACAGCCATACTGGAACAAAGTCTAATTCTACCAGCACCTCAGCTCTCAGCCTGCATTCTGGAGAAGGGCTTCAGGCCGGGCAAACTGAAGCCAAGCAAGAGTCATTCAGCTTCTCAGGTCCAGGAAGCAGGCGCTGTAGGGGACGGAAGGGTCGGAGCCCACAGACTAGTGAACCCGAAGGAGCTGGGCGGAGGCTCCAGAAGCCAGTCCCAGGAGAAGTGAGTGTACTAGGGAACGGGCGGGGCCGGGGGACGAGACGCCCCGGTGAAGACAAAAAGGAGCGAGCGCGCAGTTCGGCGCACAGAGGCGAGAGGGCTCAGAGCGGTACTAGGTGCCAGCTGCGTGCCGCGGCGGCGCAGTGCTCGGGCGACCCACGAGCATAGGGCGCGGCGGCCACGGGAGCAGACGGGCGCCCCCTTGGAGTGTGCCCAGAGGCAGGTAAGGAGCACTCGCGGTGTTGGGAAAGCTGAGCTGCAGCTGGGAGTAGAAATGAGGGGTCTTCCCGCCTCCCTTCCAAGTTCTTTCTGTTACACCCCTACTCCGACTACGGCGTGCTCTCCGTGAGACAGCACATCCGAGATGCCGCGCAGCTGAAATACCTAGCCTCCTCCCCAGGGCCGCGCGCGCAGGGATTCCGAAGCAGCACGCCGCAGTGGGAAGCTGAGTTCCTTGCCTTCCCTGCCTGGAAATCTTGGGGATTCGCAGACACTAGCCTCCGAACTGCATCAAAGCTCCTTCCAGTCCCACAGATATGTGAGCGAACACCTGCGTGCGAGTCCGCAGCGACTGCACAGCGGAAATGACACTCCAGAGCCTAGCACCAGTCTTTTGCTTGACCCTGGAGCCACTTGCTCCATGGAGTTGGTTTGCCCATTTCCTACTTCATTGTACCCCTCACCCCATCTGCCCCAATTCCAAGGAAAGCCTGGAGACCCCCAGAGGCATTTTCTACTGCTAGTAATATAGGTCTAGCCAGGGAGTGAGGAGACTTGGGTTTTAGTTTACAGGTTGTGTAAACTTGCCCCAGTTACCCACCCTTTGTATGCCTGTGTTTTCTTTCCCTGGGTCACCACCTGTAAAATGCGCCTCCTGGTCCTGTTGCCCCCATACTCCGGATGCCGTGAGGGGTCTTACCTAGAAAGTGAATGAGTTCAGTCCCTCTGTGAGGGCCTATGGAGAGCATCTCCTCTTAATCTCCCTCTCCTGTGCCCCACAATTTGCATATAGCAAAAGTGAGAGCCCGGGAGATGACTTGCCCAGCGTTATACCAGGAACTAGGCAGAAGTAGAATCCATGTCTTCTCACTTCTAGCCCAGGGCTGTCTCCACTTCACCTACAAAGGGGCATTGTAAATGTATAAGCTTCTCATTATCTCCTGGCATTCTGCCACTTTGTCAACTCCAAATGGAAGAGGCCCATGCTGGAGGCATGGGAACTGCTTTGAGATTTTCTTAGCTCTTTGAGATGACAACCAACAATCTTCTTTACCCCTCACTCACTCCACACTTCTCAGAACACATTCCTATCCATAAACTTAATCCTCAAAATATCTTCTAAGAGGGCAGCAAGACAAGAAACCCCATCTTACCGATAGGGAAAATGAGGCCCAGAGTGAGGAAGTGAAGTGACTTAACCAGGATATGTGGCTAGGAAGTGGAAAAATAGAGGCAAGAACCCAGATCTCTTGATTTCTACTCCAGTGTGTTCTCCGTCAAGTGCAGGACTGCAGAATGGTATCCTTGGATGGTAAGGAACTATGGGGAAAAAATCAGAAAGAGTGGGAAACAAGGAGGTCTTCTGAAGGGCATAAGTGTCCTGAGAATCAAAAAGAGTAGTAAGAACCTTCCAGTTTCTTCTGAGGTAGGACAACCAGGGATGGGGGATTGTGGCGATAAGGGCAACCGTTCTGGGTTAAGAAGGAAGAGATGGAGACCAAGAAGGAAACAGTGTAACTGGGCTGGCTGATAATTATCTCTTAAGTTTTTATAACACTTTGCAATGTATAAAACACTTTCCCATCTACTGCCTCCCTCAGTTCCCTGGTGAGATAAGCAGAGCAGAGATAATTATCCCCATCGTATAGATGAGGTACAGTTAAGCATACAGCCAAGACTGGAACCTTGAAAGGCACACTTAAAAGGCAAATTCACAGTTACTGGGAGTTGAACTGTGTGTGTGCCGCCGGTGGGTGTGTGTGGCCACACCCTCGCTAGGTATACAGGGAAGAGGTTGCAAAGCCATTGCTGGTGTTTTGGGCCAAGAATGTTTGCCCTTTGGATTGAACAGGGCTCAGGTGCAGAGAGCGTCTGGGTTTTAAAGGAGGCTTAGAATTCCTCCCATGATTCACCCCACCTCATTGAGATGGGTCCCAGTGGAATCTGTTTTTGCCCTGGTTTCTTGGCCTGTCCTTGAGGTTGCTTTTTAAGTACTGGAAATGAATGTGTATGTATGTGCTGAAGGAGGGATCGAGAAATGTATGGGGTATAGGCCCCTGCCCTCACAGAGCACACATTTGAGATTTGAGACCCATCTCAATTTCAGTATAGCTCAGTGCTCTAATAGAGCTTTGTGGGAAATGCTTTGGGAACAGACAAGAGGGAGTGACTAACTGGCTAGGGGGTGGAAAAGGTGGTGTCTCAGAAGAGTGTCTACGGAGGTGACATTTGAGATGGGTCTTGAAGGATAAGTAGGAGTTGATCAGGCGGATAAAAAGGAAAATGTCATTCCTGTCTAGGAAAACAGCCTGAGCAAAGGAAGAGGTGTGCAAGGAATGTCTGGGGAATGACCTGGAGGCTGGGCAAGTTCAAGTCAAGAACTTTTGGTGAGAACCTATTAATGTAGGGGAAATAGTAAAAACAGAGTGTGGAGGAAGAGAGAATCTGGCTTATTTGGGGGATTAGGAACAAGTCTGGAGCAGAAGGTGAATGAGAAGGAGCCATGGGAAATGAGGTTAACTCCTCCTCCAAAACTTACAACGTTCTACCGTTACTGGATCTGCCACAAGGACTGGCAGGAAAAGGCAGTAATAATGGATTTAGAGGAGTTGATGCTCCATGACAGCAGGCTGTGTTTGGTGGGATATGCTGTTCAAATGTGAAGGGATACTGCCATTTATAGTGGAAAGAGCACTTGAGCAGGGCTTCAAAGACCTGGGCTCTCCTCTGAGTTCTGCCATTTACTAGCCATGTCATCATGGACTAGTCACTTCCCCTCTCTGAGCTTTGATTTTCCCATGTACAAAATGGAGGGATTGCCTAGAATCTAGATTCTAGATGATCTTTAAAGGCCCTTTCAGTTTGGTCAGTAACTGCTAACATGTTAAAAGGAAGAATGAACAAGTCACCTCTTTGGGCCCTCAGTTTATCTCGGGGGGAATATTGGGTGTGAGTCAGGCACCTTCAGGTGGTTTCGGGGCTCAGAACCATCTTAACCCACAAGGAAAAAGTCTGCAGCCTTCTCTGTCTTATGATTTGAGGGGCTCTAGAAAGTCCCCCAAATGCCTCTCCCACCAACCTGTCCAGTCTCCATGATCTCACAACGTGGTTTGAGGATTTATGCCCTCATGGATTACTTTGCTAACTGGAACTTTATAAGACTGCATAATAAAATCCTTTCATTTTACAGATGCAGACAGAAGCTGAGGCTCAGAAGAGGGAAGTTACATGCCCAAAGTCACACAAATAGGAGCTAAACCAAGACACCTCCCTGGGTTTTCATTTCCTTCACTGTAAAATGAGGACATTTAGACTAGATAAGACTCTGAAGGTCCTTCTAGCTTCTGCTCTAAAAAATAAAAACCACCACCCCCATCTATGGATATGCCAGGCACTACATGGTGGTTTTCTCCTTTAATTCTTACAACAAAGCTATACTACAGATATTATCATTCTGTGCCCATGTTTATACCCTCTATCCAAATAGATTGACTGGTAACACATCATTTGTTTCAATGTAAAATATCAGCGCAACTGCCCACTGCCATTCTACTACTCACATCATTCCCCTCGGTCTTAAGGCCCTTTCAGCCTTTCAGAGGCTCCTGTTAATGGGCAAGAACCCTGAGAAAGGGAAGGTTTTAGGTTGCACGATTAGCTGGTTCCTGAGCAGGAATCCACATGTTAAGGTGGGGTTTCTCATGAAGTCAACCAGTTGAGACACAGTGGGCAATCAGACACCCCTTGGCCACTGCACAGTTCCTGCAGCTGCAACCCTGGGCTGGCCTGACCCAGCTGCCGCCAGAAAGGGAGGGAACGAGGGAGGAGATCAAAGCCGGCAGGGTGAGATGATTGCACAACCCTTGGGGCCTGGCCTTGGGCAAGCCACCCTGCGTTCTCAAGTTTGTTCTCTGTGTCTGGTTCCTTTTGCTTTCTCCCCTCATTTTCAGCTCTGGGTCTTCCTAGCTCCTGAAATCAAGTCTGGTACCCCAAATGTGCCTGGAGACATCCTGAAGAGGCTAAGGGGCTGAGGAGCCTTAGGGCTATGCCTACGCAGAGCCAGAGAATTTTCCTGCTGTTTGATGAGTTTTCAGATTGGGGTCGCCCTCCCTCTGCCCTGTCAGTTAAAGCCCCTTTCCAAGGATATCAAAACTGGTAACAGAGACTGCCCCAGGAAGGAAAGGTACCATTTCAATTTTTTTTTTTTTTTTTTACTGCGTATATGTGGTTAAGCATTTGGCTGCTAAGTGAAAGGTTGGCAGCTCGAACCCACCAGCTGCTCTGTGGGAGAAAGATGTGGCAGTCTGCTTCCGTAAAGATTTACAGCCTTGGAAACCCTACGGGGCAGTTCTGTTCTGTCCTACAGAGTCGCTGTGAGTCAGAATCGACTTGACGGCAATGAGTTTGGTTTTGGTTTTATATGTATTTGCTTTTCAAAAATGAAAAAAAAGTTTTTTAAAATTCTCTTTAATATAATAAAAACGTATCTTTAAAGCAACCCTTAAGGGAGGCAGGGCAGGGATGATTATCTTTTTTGACAAATGAGGAAACTAAAGCCCAAACAGGGCAAGTAACTTATTTCCCTCAAAATGGGCTCCTCCAGACACTTACGTTATCTGTCATCTATCTGTAAAACTGTCTGAGGCCCCTTCCTCCCTCGACCCTCACATTAGCCATCCTCTCCCCAAAATGCCTCTCACATCTTATATCTACCCCCCACCACCCTGTCATCCCCTCTGTCCTCTGCCTCAGTTCAGGACTCAGCATCTGATACCTGAGCTATTTAAAGACCCTTGTACCTGGCCTCCCTGTCTCAATTCTTGCTCCCTCCAGTCCACAAAGCAGCCAGTGTCCTTTCCAAAGCACAGATCTGATCATTTTATCCCGTTCCACAGCTCTTCACCACCTACAGGATAAAGTTCTAACTCTGCAGCCTGGCGCTCAAAGCCCTCTGTGATCTGGCTCCTGCCACTCTTTCCTACCCCACAGCCTACCTTATCTTTCCATGCACCTTACACTCCAACCTCTTTATGCTACTTTCCCTCCTTCAAGTATTTTATGCATTTTCCTGGTGCTGTATCTTTGCTCATCAGTTTCCTTCCTCTGTCTTCTCTACTCCTAAAAACCCTTCAAGGTCCAACTCATATACCTCCATCACTGTGAATGCTCTCTGGATCCTGATCAAATTCATTGCTTTTTTCTGTAAGCCTAGTAGCTCCTGGCTTGTCCCCTGCATTGTATTAGAGCTGGTGATGAGCCCCTGAGTGTAGTCTGAGTCTGAGCCTCACCAAGCTCTAAGCACGGGGCCTGGCCCAGAGTGGACCTCTGTAAATGATGACTGGCTAAATGATTACTTGAGCCATTAATTCCATTGTGCTGCTCCTGCTTTCCATTGGCTCACATAAGAAAAGAAGGCAAAATTTTCTTGCCTGACATTTCTCAGTGGGATAGGAGATGAGAGCCTATGCCTTCTGAATCTTACTTAACTCATTGAGGCCTTATTCTTTTCCCCTCTTCCTATCCAGACAAGATAGCATAAGTTCTAAAGGCCTTGTATGAAATACAGGCCAGTCCTGGATGATTGCTATATTATTCAGATTCTTCCCTGTAACTTTTACATTCCTAGAGCAGTTCATGAATATTTATCATGGTCAGAACTATCATCTTTTCCAGGGAAGAGCCCCTATGGTTATAATCATGTTTGTTAACTTTGGTTTGTAGACAGTTCTATGTAATGGGTTTTTCCTACCTCTCCCCCTTGAAGAAGGGCTTTGGAGCCATTCAGTAAACTCTGAGTATTTGGCCTAAGGAGAAGTTTCCAAAATGGCCACCTTTACTGGAGACTACTGAAGGAAAGAGAACACCCAGTCCAGCTGAGGGTAGTCCCTTAGACTTGGGAGAAATACACAGTGTTGCTGACCAGAGCATGTGGTCTGAGGAGACCCTTACCAATAACATGAGGACAGCCACACATTGCCCTATATATAAGTGTTGGAGGGAGAGGATGGCTGCGATGATAAAGCTTGTGGAGTAAGGTTGATGGGTTGAGAACAGTTGATGAAGGCTTTCTGAAGGAAGTGAATATGGAGCCTGTTTAAAGGGAATGCCCTATGGTTTTGCAGAGGCTGGGATATGAAGCTGTTTTTCTACATTATTCACTAAGGATCTCTGAGAGAAAGGAAAAGGAACATTTATTATCACCTGCTATGTGCCAGGCATAAAGTGACTTTGTTTTAGAAGGTAGGATAGTTGAGGTACATGATGGCCTATGTCTTTCCTCTCTGGAGCAGGTAAAACCCCAAACCTTGAGTGCTCCTTTTACTCCCCGCCCCAGGCCCAACCCTTTTCCTGTCTTCCCCAGTGCATCCAGTGGTTATTAACCTCCTGTTGCTCCCCAGCCACTTCCTTTCCAATTGAATTTCCTCAAATAGCTAGGAACACCTAGAGTCTTCAGGACATAGGATCCTTGAGAGGTCAAATGATCTAGCTTCTGGCGTCCAGGCAGGGAGAAATCTAAGCCATCCCCAAACATCTTCTAAATGGTGCCCATGGAGTAGAACAAAAAATGATGCAGAGTTCTGATGGATGCATCTTTAATGGTGCCACACAGTCCTGCTAAGAGCTGGCATGCAAGTAGAAAGAACACTGAACTGGCCATCAAAGTGGGGCTCTATCTCAACTCTATCTCTGATATTCTCTGTGATTGTAGACAAGCCACTTAATTTCTCTGGGCCTCCGTTTCCCCCTGTGCAAAATGGAAAGAAATAGACTAAATAATCCCTAAGGTCCTAGTTGGAATCAACCTGACAGCAATGGGTTTGTTTTTTGTTTTTTTTAAGGTCCTTCTAGCCTAAAGTTCTTAGGTTTATAGAATTCAAAGAAAGGAAGGATTAATATGGGTCACAATAGTCAGGGAAGGTTTATTCTACAAGCACTTACTGAGCACCTATGGGGTGCTGTCATAAGTGCTGGTATATACCAGTGACTAAAAGAGACAAAGGAGGTAGTGGTGGTTCAGCGGTGGAATTCTCGCCTTCCATGCAGGAGATCCAGGTTTGATTCCTGACAAATGCACCTTAAGCACAGCCACCACCAATCTGTCAGTGGAGGCTTGCATGTTGCTATGATGCTGAACAGGTTTCGGCAGAACTTCCAGACTAAGATGGACTAGAAAGAAAGGCCTGGCAATCTACTTCTAAAAATCAAGCAGTGAAAACCCTATGAATCACAACAGTCCTATCCCATTGTGCATGGCGTTGCCATGAATCAGGGCCCAACTCAACGATAGCTAACAGCAACGAAAGAAACATAGTCCCTGCCTTCATTGAGCTTGCATTTAGTGGAGAAGACACAAATAAGCAAGTAGTTAGAATAAACTGTGATGGTGGGACTTTAGCTGGCATCTGAAGGATGTGCAACCAGGAGTGGGAAGCTCATTCTAGGTGCAGGTAACAGAAGCCACCCTCTCTCTTTTCTCTCACCACCAGAGTATCCTCTGATTTTTACTTCACCTCAATCCCTGTTGCTATGGAGACCACCAATGGGACTGAGACATGGTACAAGAGTCTGCACGCTGTGCTGAAGGCCCTAAATGAGACTCTCCACAGCAACTTGCTCTGCCGGCCAGGGCTGGGGCCAGGGCCAGGGCCAGACAACCAGACTGAGAAACGGCAAACCAGCCTACTTGGCCGTGATGACAACTCCTACATGTACATTCTCTTCGTCATGTTCCTGTTTGCTGCCACAGTGGGCAGCCTCATTCTGGGATACACCCGCTCCCGGAAAGTGGACAAGCGCAGTGACCCCTACCATGTGTACATCAAGAACCGTGTGTCTATGATCTGAGTTTGGAGGCCGAGAATGGCACTAGATGAAGGCACTTGAGGCTTGTCTTTCTGAGGCCTCCAGAACTCAGATGGAGACCACATCAGGTCTCAGTGTCCCTATCTGTGAGATCAGTAAGAAACAGTGCTAAGGGAGGTCACCATGGGGTGAAAGGAGAGGGGCGGACAGAGTTCGGCCTTGTGGATAAGGATTTTTTCCAGGTAAAGTTAGACTTTATAAACAATGGGAGCCTTGTGAACAAACATAGAAATAGCAAAGGATAATGATCAGTGACTAATCCAGTAGTTGGGGTGTCGGGGGATAAGTCTTGGAGGAAAGAGAAGAGGAAGTTGTAGCAGAAGGAAATGAACAGGAAGATGGACTAAGGACATTTTTTTGTGTGTGTTATCTTCAACAACCATGAGAAGCAGCAATGATTATCCTATATTACAGATAGATTATATTTGCTCACAAATTTAATCTGTATTTGTTCACATTTTATATTTTTCAACACATTTAATATTTGTGATTTCACCCCCCTGTGAGGTAAGCAGGGAAACCCTGGTGGTGTAGTGGTTAAGAGCTACAGCTGCTAACCAAAAAGTCAGCAGTTTGAATCCACCAGGCACTCCTTGGAAACTCTATGGGGCAGTTCTACTCTGTCCTATAGGGTCACTGTGAGTCAGAACCAACTCGATGGCAGTGGGTTTCATGGCAGGTAAGCAAGGCAAGTGTCGTTCTACCCATTTGGGCCTAAGTGGTACCATGATTAGAACCCAGGCCTCCTGTCTCCTTGCCCAGTGCTTTCCAAAACTGTGTTCCACATAGGAGTGGATCCAGGCCTTGTGGGGCCTGATGCTTATATAATTCTGTGGAGCCTCTTTAAGAAAAATAATTTTAAAATATCTTACTTTTGTAAATATTACAAAAACATATCACCATGTTAATACGTTGCTAGGGCTTCTCCTAGGGCCTTAGGAAGGAGCCCATGCAAGTGTGGGGCTGTGAATGTTAAACCTCACTAGGTCCATAGCTCCATGGTTTACCCGCCTCTTGATCTATCATGTTACAGTGCCCTTCCCAACCCAGACCAAGAGACTTCACTACCTCCAGGACAGCCTCTTCCATTTTGATTGAGTTTTGATTGTGAGAAATTCTCCTGATACCAAGTTGAAACCTGTTTCCTTGAAGCTTCCACCCATTGCTCGTAGAAGATGACATTAAGAGAACAGAGTGTGAAATGCATGTACATGGTTCAGTGGAAAGAGAACCAGCCCTGATTCCCATAAATGTGGTGTGTGAGCTGGGGCTGGACACTTCCTCTCTTTGATCCTTTCTCCTCTTCTGTACAATGAAATAGTTAGACTTGAAAGTCTCTAAGGGCCCTACCAGTTCTGACATTTTAGGCTTCATGTATATTAGGTTGAACCATAAGAAATCGCTGTTTTTGTAGGTCAAAAACAGATAAATATCTGTAGTTTCATATGGTTCAATCTAATACATGCAATGTGGCAAGTGAAGACTTTGCAAGCCATTTGCTCCAAATCCCAGACTAGTACTTCTCATTGTTCTCTTTGTCAGATTTCAGTTTAAGGGATCTCTACAGAAAGCCCCATTGAAATGTACATATTTGTGCATAGCAAAAACTCTGAAAGAATGTTTTAATAACAGTTATCTCTGAGGAATAGAATTATGGGTGATTTTCTCTTTCAACTTTATACATTTATGTAGTATTTGATTTATTTAATCATAAGTATGTTATTTCTATAATAAGGAAAAAAACTATTTTCACTTTGAAAAAATAAAAATGAGTGCCTATATGTTTCCTGAATGGAGGATTACAAAACACTCTCTTGCTCTCATCAGCAGAGTCTTAGTTATCTAGTGCTTCTGTAACAGAAATACCACAAGCGGATGGCTTTAACAAAGAGAAATTTATTCTCTCACGGTTTAGGAGGTGTCATGGATAGAACTGTATCCCCCAAAAATATCTGTCAACTTGGCTAGGTCATGATTCCCAGTATTGTATAATTGTGTACCATTTTGTAATCTGATGTGATTTCTGTATGTGTTGTAAATTCAATCACTATTATCTGATAAAATGGATTAGTGGCAGTTATACTGATGAGGTATATAAGATTGGATAGTGTTTTAAGCCAATCTCTTTTGAGATTATAAAAGAGAAGTGAGCAGAGACACATGGGAACCTCACACCACCAAGAAAGCAGTGTTGAGAGCAGAGCGCGT